CTCAACAATTGAAGTGGAGAATTTCGAAATTCCTAAAAAGAAGATACAAAAATTTTTCATGGACAATCGCTTTCAACATACTATTTGTAGCCAATATTTTTGGATTTTTTTCTCAGTACTCTAATCTTTACAAAGCGGATGTACTAATATAATCCTCAAACCCTGTACATAATAATGTCCACTTCAATTTTTGAGCAGGAAGTTGTGAAATTTTCACTTAACAGTTTTACAAAAGTGAAGAACACAAAAGTGTTTCGCCATTCAATGGCTTCTTCGGTTTAAATGTGTCAGTCACAAAATTTTTCGGTAAGAATATTTAGAAAATGATTTTCGTGTAATTCAATATTCATATGAAAGTAATTGTTTCGGAAGGGCTTTTTCTTCCAGTTTCATTCTGAAAATAACTTCTCTGCATGAATATGAATGAATTTTAGACATGAGCTTTCCATATGCATCCTTTAGCCCATTAGTGACTTTGTTTAATAATATATAGTGAAGTTATCTTGATTGTCCCACGCCCTGTGTGTAGTCTTCTTATTCCTCAAAAACATCAACTATACTTTTTTGCCTATCTTTGAAGGAAACATAATAGTTTAGTGCTTCATTTGAGCGGCACTAAACGCTTCTGATTTTTTGTCTGCAGACTGACATTACATGGAAGCGTTTTCATAGCGTGACAAAACTAAATTAAGATGCGGGTAGGTATCGAATTCTGTTCGTCAATTATAAATGGATTCCACGCCCTTCAACGCTACACACTACTTTTTCAATAAAGGAATAAGGTAGGGTTTCACCCAGTTTTAATGTGAAGGTTGGTCATTTATGAACGCCAAAACCGGTATCAGGCGGTCTTCATATATTAGTTGGCTTGCAGAAAGGTTGGCAACTAAGCTTCTTTTTCAGATATACCTTCAATATAATTCACACTTTTGGACTGCTTCACCTGCTATCGACTGAAATGAAACTGTGAAACTAACTTTAAGTAACCAGAGCAAAGTTTTGATAATCTACTTCGATCAGGTTCTGCATCTGCAAAACACAAGCACTACAGGAAAAGCCTTAAGGCGCTCTAAGAGCGGTGTCTGTGCGAAAGTAGCGATTCACGTTGGATTTGAATAGCTGGAGATTGAATTAATTTGGATAAACATTATCAGGAAGTTCATTCTACATAATCGCTGTTATCCAAATGGAAGAGTTCTTAAACAGTGAAGTTCGAAGTGTACATAGAACCTCAAAACGATGGCCAGCCACAGTTCGTCGCGAAATTTCTGATATGTATCGCCCTTGGCGGAATCAAATGTGCTAAGTCACTTGAAAACCTCCCGTAAAAATATTTATCGCGTCTCCAATCAGGCGAATGGATCTTTTCTGGATAAAATCCAGCAGCCTCATAGTATGTTTAGAGCCGGAGAACGATACTCCAAAGAAGGTCTGATCTGAGCTTTATATAAACCGTCAAAAGTTGCTGAGGTGTGTACAGTTTTCTGGTGTTCCAAGCTTTTGAGAAGCAGCCTTTGTAATTCTAGATATGCAACCTCCTGTTGCCGATGAAGATGGGCATCTGCAACCGATGTCCAGGAATCCAAATGGAATAACGAGATAAGTCTGCTGTCTTCAGCAAAGTAATATATTGAATTCTTGTTTTTTTCCAAAGAGTCGATGATATACAATAAAAATAGGTTTGGAAACAATATGGAACCCTAGGAACACCAGGGTTGATGATAAAAGTATTCGAGAGATTTCCATCGACGGCCGTTTGTAGGAAGTTTGGCCAGCAAACTCTCATGACACACAAGGACAAATGCCTTAGAAATTTCAAGCGCAGCAGCTCTTGACTCTCCACGTTTTTTGATTGCGTTATTCCAAATATGGATAACATACGATAGAAGGTCGCCTGTTGATCTATGTGTTCAAAAGCCATATTGATGATCGCTCAAGATGTTAAAGCTTCCCAAATATTTAAGGGTATGGTTGTTTATGTCTTTCTCCAAAAGTTTTGATACCACTGATAGTGAAGAGACTGGTCTATAGTTATTTGAAAAATTTTTCTTGTCCTTTTTGGGAATAGACTGAACGTGAAAAGTCTGCAAAATACTGGTGCTTTCTTTAACATTTTTGAAGCTGGTGGCTAACACGAAACACAAATTTGTATATCTCCTTTTTCGTGTTGACATTCGATATTTTCAGTTTTAACTAAATTATTATCGGTGAATGTTACAGGTTCGAACGTCTATGTTCTATGGAAGGTTCTACGGAAGAACAATTGAAATAAATAGTGATTTGGCGAAGCAAACTGAATAAATAAAAAGTCATTTGACAGATGTAACTTCAATTATCAATTGACAAAATTTGAAAGTTCCCGTTGGAAGACTCTATAGTAGTTAATGTATTCAAAAAACCATTTAATTGTGAGATTTTCACTTAACAGTTTTACAAAAGTGAAGAACACAAAAGTATTTCAGTGTTTCGCCATTCAATGGCTTCTTCGGGCATGTTTTTAGTAGGTCCTTATCCGATAGTTTTTTTTTCACACGAGAACCTTTTGGAGGCCGAATGGTTCGTTTTAAATGCAAATTTGTTTCTACTATACGTGATTATATCATTCACTTGATATTTCTGGGTCCCCCTTTTCTTACGTATCACTAGGTGTATTTTTCTATTCTCAGTTTTATGTCGGGCACTTGATGAATAGAGATTTCCTGGACTCTAGTTTTGACTACGTTCACCTTTGGTAAAACCGATAAAGATATTCTAATAAACTCAGCACTTCTCATTATCATTATAATATTTATTTGTTATGCCACCCATTATCAATTCATTTTTCTTTCAGGTCAGAATAATTTGGTTCTACAAGCGTTCTTGAAATTTTTGCTATTGCTTATTTTTTTGACATTATTTACATTTGATTGTCAACTAACTCAAACAAAGATTTTGATTCAATGCTTTCAATAATTTCAACATTCAATTCAATGTCATTAAATTTTTTCTTCCACAAATTTTGAACCTATCAAAACCATTTTAGACAATTCAAGTCTGAACATGCGATACTCAACAAGAAATCATATCAGCCACTTTCAAACGTACATGAATCTCTTCTATTTGAAAGTCTGATATCCCACACTTATTGTCAATTCAGTCGTCTCAATCCTTGATTGGACAGGGTTCAAATAATATTTATTTCTGCAGCAATATTTGAATAATTATTTGTGGAAACCTATTCAATTATTTGATCAAAGCTCTTCAACTTATACCTAGAGTTGTAAAGTTAAAAGACGTGTGGTTCACGGAACTAGTATTAAGTATTTCTTCCTGTTTTCAAGGTTATTTTGGTACATTAACATAATCTAACCTGACCTGCTTTAGTAATGGTAGACATTAAACACATTAACTGTCTTTGGTTTTGTACAGCCTGAGGCCATATATTGCATTATATATGTATTACTCACACGACTTCCATTTACTGGAAGCAAATTCAGTTTTGGAAAAGATTACATACAAATATACTCGTACGTATAGTATTGGAACTATTCATTCTCCAACCTGAGGAATTTGAATTCAAAGGAAAATTTTATTCTCTGCAGGATTGTATCTCAAATATAGACAAAAAAATATTGACAGTCACACAGAAAATTCAAACTAATGAAACGAATTAGTTTCGAATGCAGGGTGCTGCAAGAAGCTTCAGAACCTATCATTGGCATCACTTTAGGCTTTGCCAAACAAAGATTGAACATCTGGATGGCAAGAAGATACATGAACTTCTGGCAAAATCTTCCAGGATTGGCTCATTCACCCTTTGAAGCTTGATACCAAACAGTTGTTGGACTACAGTAGGGATGAACTACGATGTCTAACAGGCCTTCTTACAGGTCACTGTCATTTGAATCATCCTATACAGAGACTCGGACTGTCGGAAGACAGTGTGTGTCGCCTCTGTTTGGAAAATGATGAAACAACAGAGCATATACTTTGTGCCTGCCCCGAATCAGATTTTTAGAGTTCGGCAGAGCCGTACTCTTACCATCTGACCTGAAAGACCATTCACCATACAAACTAATCAGCTTCGTTAAGAAGCTGGGTTTATTTGACCGAGTGTGACTAGGTGTGAGCCACAATAAACCCTTGCCACAATAAACCCTAAACTAACCTAGTCTCGAATGCTCTTCAAAATGTTCTCGAAAAAAAATAGATGGAAGTTAAATATGTAGAACTAGATAGGGAAATGTTTGATTCAGCTTATTTCCCATACTGATACAGTAATCCTGAATAGCCTCAAAGTATTTCATCATTGTTCGTTAGTTTTGAAATGTTAATCCGAAGATTTTGAAAACATTATGGAACTCTAACAGTAATTTGTATGACACGATTAGAGTGTGTCATGTAGGTTGCTCGGATGCCAATCCTTGTCCACAAATGCATATCATCTGACTCATCCTTTGGAACGCATGTTGAAATGTAAGATCCTGGTTTCTTTAGCTTGCACAAGATTCTGATAGATTTTAGTTTTTTTTTAGTGATGTCAAACTGAATTGAGTTGGTATGGAGTATTACAGATAAATAGTGTTGTAAATCATCCGCTGGTAGTTGTAAATCGATTGTGGCTTTGCCAAGATTGCGCTCAACTCTACTTGCGCTTAGCGATTGTTCTAAATGTAGCGTCGCTTCGAGAGACTTCTAGCGACTTCCCCATCGGCTTCGACAGACTTCGATTACCATATATAAACACTACCAATACGCATATCGAGAAAGTTTAGTTGACAGTGCGGTACGAAGTGATCTAATCAGACGATATACACTCATGTTTGTGACACTGAAATAACGCCAACAATAACAAATACAATGGAATCCGGGCGCGGAAACATTATTAAATTTGAATGAAAACTATGTAGATTATAATTTTATTTAAATATTAGCATTTTTTATGAAACAGTCTAGTCGTATTCTTCAATGAAAAATTAGTTTAACAAAACAATATTAATCAAAGCATTATTTTATTCCAGATGAAAATTTGTTTTTGTGACACCCTGGCCTGGAGAAGAGAGACCATGAAGTAGGTGAGTGATATACTTTTCCTGAGGTTTCAAAGCGAAACACATTTTATTATTGTTGTTGTTGAGTTGTTTCTGTAAATAATTTTTCTGTAAATAATTTTTCTGTAAATAATTTTAATACCATAACGATACGATACGTATAGGAGCTGTATGTTCTGTGAATTGGTTAATTTCTTCTTCATATCTATAATGAGCAATCCCATTTCCATCAAAATGAATTGGAATTTCTTCCAGATAAGCCAATATAAATTAATTCCAACAAGCTTATGTAAATTTCTTGTTTACATTCAAATTGAACCTTTGAAATTTTTATTTTCAAGGTTGTTAATCAAACGGTGTAGTTGATAGTGACAAAAACAATTCAAACAACTTTTATGGCTTTGTTATGAGTTATATCAACATACGATTTAGGATATTGTAAATTGAGGCTGTTAATGTGACCTGAAATAAAAATTAGGGTCAGTTGTCAACTGCTCCAGAGCACATTCAGCGAACACACGTCGTTGTCTATGGTCGTTTACCTTCAATTCTTGAGTCAGTTGAATTTTGTATGGGTGCAGGCCCAGGTCGCGACGCAAAATTCCCCAAGTTGTGGTCTGCGAAAGACCGAGTTCTTGTGAGCGACGCGAAATCGACTGCCTCGAATTCTTCTGCATACTCTCACATACAGCGGCTATGTTTTCGACATATCTTGCGTTTGGTCGACGTACGGGTGTTGGTCGATCGTTTACTGAATCAGTGGACTCAAATTTATCTACCACATTGCGAATAGTCCTTTTGGGACTTGGGAAGCATCATCATCGGTAGACGAGATACAGAAGATAATCTTTATGCTAAGAAAAAGTTCTCTAACTTCAATTGCAGAACTGGTTTTAAAAAAAAAATCTGGAAATGAGGATAAATGGAAGAAATTTGTTGAAGGAAAGGACACGCATGAATTACATCTCTGCATTTCAATGTACTCAGAAAGACAGGAATATGTATGTACATATGTATTTTCTGTGATGTCATATAATAGTCCTAGTACTACCTCAAGGCTAGTACTAGAGTGCCAACAAGATTTCGACAAAGCCTCGGTAGATAATAACATTAACCTGAGGTGGGTTAAAGAGCACAACAGGAGTGAAGGTAATCGCATTGCCGACTCTCTAGCCAAGGAAGCGGCTGGACTAAGAATTTTAGGACCCAGTGACACCTACGGCCTGAAGACTTCGACTATTGCGGAACTTACCAAACGTCACACCCATGCTCAGTCCCTAAAGAGATGGGATGGAATCGAAAGGATGCAGTTTTGCCAGGATCACCTTGGGCGTTCCTGGGAAGCTGGCACCGAAAAAATATCTGGCGATGACCAGGAAAAACCTACGCTTAACAGTAGGATTTCTGATTGGCCACTGTCAACTAAGGAAACACCCCCATATTATGGGGCTAGTGAACACACCTCTATGCAGAATGTGTGAACAGGAAGATGAAACTGTCAGGCATGTCCTGTGCGAGTGTCCGCACAATATCGTTATTAAGAGAGTGTGTGTTCGGCGAGTCTTGGCCTACACCTGCCGATATAAACGTGATGTTTGCCAGTGACCTGTCCACCTTCCTGGGAAGGACGGGATGTACGATGACCTAGGAGGACAACTCCTCGGGAGGATGTACAATGGGGCCTAAGAGCTGTGGGCCTGTGGGCCTACTCTTTATCTCCCTACTCTACAGATACAGAATAGTCCTACTACATTGATCGTTTTCACTTTTCTATATCCTATTGTTTGTTTTACGTTATTTCTCCCATTATATAATTTGGTTTGCAAGATGCTGTGCCAATGTTTCACCCAAGAAAATGGTCAGGGATATTTATCGGCGCCTCCACATATTTCACTTTTTTGGTTCAAGCTAATGTAATACTAGAATAGTACTAATTTATTTCCCTTTCCTAAAACTAATCATACGAATAGTACGCGCTTGTAAGAAACATTGTTCGTTTGGTTCGTCAGCTCCCAGTAGTTCTTCATCCTCTATTTCTTGTTCTCTCTTATTTCTATATATTTCTTCATTCTTTCGCCTCCACTAGCAAGCCTTTGATTATGATATTTGAAATTTCATTTTGTTTCTTCTTATTATCTGTTTCCTTTCCTGTTCAGAAAATGATTGAATGTTGTTCCAGATCACTCTTATATATGGTGCGTGCAACTTCATCCAGGAGTTTTCCTGTACTATTCCTTCTTGTCTTGGCTATTATTTGGTATTACATATCCACCTGGTCAACTTTTTTTATAGACCTTTCCTTTCGTTTATTCTTCACCGCCTAGTTTGAATTTTGTTTGTCTCCTCGTTGTTCCGTGTTTTTTTTTCTTGTCGGATTGTATGGTTTCTTTCAGTATGTCTATTTCTGCCAACACCAGTTCATAAATTCTCTTCCATATTCAAAAATAACAAATAACTTATTGCATATACAATCTAAATTAATGTCTGATAAAACAAATATAGAATTACTGACTGGATTTTCATTAAAAAATTCAATTCATTTCATCACATAACTTCTAATGTTCACTCTGAAGTTGATCCTAGCAAAAATAATATATTTCATTGTTCCCAACTTGAAACCAATTTGTCATTTTCTATTGAAAGTGCTGTTTAATGATAACCAATCGACTTAAGTAAAAGCGTATATATCTAAGATGACTTTCACTGGACACACTTCTGTAGAATGAAAAGTTTTTAATTGTGCTCACGTGTTTCAGTTTCTTCTCGCTTCCATCTGCTGATCATTATTTTATAGAAATTTGTAGAAACCGTCAGCTGCTATAGTTTTATAACCTCTTGTTCCGCGTGATATAAAGAAAGGATCCATAAATGTTAGTTTCTTGAGCAGTGCAAATGTGCAAGTTTCATCAAATAATTAGTTCTGATGTGTTTCCATAATATTAGACGTTTTTTGTTAATAGTTTTGTTAATAGTCGTGATTTGAGGCAGCTGTTGCTTTTCAGCTTGACATTCAATTGAAATTTAATTGCAGTGTTTAATACCAAACACATAACCACAATGACATTCACACTTTCTAATGGTATGTGTTGCTGCGAAATAAGATATTCAACGTATTATTAACCCTAATAATGGCATTGTTGAAATAATTGACGACTTGCTATTATTGTGATGACATGATGCAAGTAAGCTGAACTTCCTGTGTGTACTAAATCTATTTTGTCTCAAGAATAAATTCAAACGTTTTTTATGAATCACATCGATTCGAAAACTGTTCACCTTCAATATCCCACAGAGGGCACATCTTTTTAACCGTCTTTCAATTCTCTTTCTATTGGTATAGTTTTCAAGTAAACGATATAGTGCAACCTACCTTCCAACATATTATTACATAAGGGGGAAGGGAGAATATCTGGTGATATTCACCATTAACAAAAACAACATGTTAATTCACCTAACAAGTTTTGTAAATAAATGGCTTCTTTTGAAGCTTCTGCTTATGCCATATGTTCGTGTAAGAAGGTTTGCAAATTCATGTTTATGGTTATTTGTCGTAATGGCTAAGTCAAGGTAATTTATTGAATTATTTACCTCCCTCTCAGTGGTGGTGAATTTTATTGATGGGTAGATGGAATTGACATATTCAATGAACCTTGCCTAATTGCATATCTGTACCAGTAAAACAGACTAAGGTATCATCTACGTACTGTAGAGGATGTCTACAAAAACTGTTAGTTAACTGATTATTATGGATTTCATACTCTATGTTATTCATGTAAATTTCAGCCAGCAAGGGACTCAAAGGGTTCCGCATTATTAGTCCTTCACTGCATGAATAACATTTTTCATCAAACTGGAAATAATTTTGAGATAGGCAGATAGTAAGTAAATCCAAAATTACCTGTTTTATCAGTGGATTCACGTGGTTTTTGTCTAAGAGACGCTCAACCTGTCCAATTGTTTCAATTGGCGGAATACTGTTCAATTGGCGGAATACTGGGAAATAAATTTTGGACATCAAACGATATCAATTTTGCGTTATCAGAAAGAATTGCGATTTCAATATTATCCACTAATTGATAACAATTTCGGCTTGAAATTGGTATAGGTTTGAATCAATTTCATAAGGATTTCTGAGATTTTCACGGTAGGTGCCGTTACAAACGACAACACAGGTCTAATCGGGAAATTGGTTTTGTGTAAGTTAATAAGAGAATACAGTTTTGGTACTTGTGGATTCATGATCAATGCTCTTGTTTTAAGGGTTTCTTTAACCTTTTCTGGTACATAGTTGTAATTAGAGGCTTCCACTTCTTCGTTGCCCCAGGGCATCTATACTTCCAAATCCGGCCCTGTTTTTTTGGTCGACAGGGAAACAAAAAAATATTTGAATCCTGCCATTAAAAAAATAATTTTGTGCAAACCGTGCATCAATAGAATATGTTTCAACTGTTTATTCACAGAAACGGTGGAGGAAATACTTTACTTTGTAAGATGAATCGATTGACGTATAGTGTACATCAACTTCTCAGAAAGGCTACTCAGAAATTAAAATACAGTAGTTACAGAAAACTCGAGAAAATTTCGTTTCATCATAAGATGTAAACTGCGATCTCATTAATAATCTCAAGGTGGATTACTCATTTTGAATTGGTCATTTATTCGAGTGGACTACTTACAAAATAATATATTCATAACATCGAGAGTTGATGAATTGCTTGCAATATTGCTGGTTTGTGTTATTGTGAATCTCGGTCGTTCGGATATATTAATGTTTCTGATATGTCTGATAGAAATATTAGTCGCATCAATGGATGCACAAAAAAAGCAATCTTCTATTTTTTGTTTATTATTCAAAACCCGAATCCTCTCAAAGTGGGAAAAGAATCATTTATATACCTTAAATAGTACGTATACCGCATGTAAGGGAACGGAAGGTATAACGGACCAGTTAAGGAAAAATTAATGTAACATAAAAAATAAAATATTTATTCTTCTTACTTTGTTATTATATAATTGAGCATTTA